AAGAGCACTGAGCTAGGACTGAACCCTGTGACACCCCACTAGTTACCTCCATCCAATTTGGGAAGGTGCATTGATGAGCACTCTTTGTGTCCGATTTAGCAGCCAATTTTGGATCCACCAATTTTCCACCTAGCCCACCGTTTTCTAATTTGCTTATCAGGATGTTGTTGGGCACTATGTTGAAAGCTTTGCTAAAGTTTAGGTAGATTGTGTCCACAGTGTTCCCTTTGTCCATTTGGGAAGTTACCCAGTCAAAAAAAATGAGATTAAATTAGTCTGACAGGATTTATTTTTGACTTGCATTTAAACATTTGAGGCTACAACCATATCCCCAATAATCGGGGAGTAAATCCCACTGAGCTTGATGGTAGCTATTTCTGAGTATGTTTGTACAGACTTGCACTGTTAATTTGCTATCAAAAATATAAACAATGCTTATTTTGAAAAAAGGATAAGCCAAAAACAACCCATCATTTGGCAGCAATATGACACTGTGGAATATGTCATTTGGCTCTTTAATTTTCATTTTACAGTTCGGCAATGAATACCACCTATCTGTGGTGCTGACTCCAGCCCCCACATAGGTTCCGATGGGGCTTCTTGAAAACTCAGAATAAAAGCTGCAGTGGAAAAGTTGCCCGTGGATGTACGAGTCTCCATTCTGCTCTGAAGATGCCTTTGCAATGTTTCTTGCCACAGCAAAGAGAACTGCCCAAGCAGCACTCTAAATCCAAACAGCTTGACACTGGCTGCTGTTTCCTCACTCTCTTTTTCTTTTCATTTTCCCTTCTCTCTTCTTTCCCTTGTCATATAAATTGCTGCAGTTTCAGTCTGAGGCACATCTTATTGGCAGAGAAAATGAGATTAGGCAGGATATCCCCACCTCTAAGCTTTCTTTGGGTGGTTGTAGGGAAAATGAAAACACAGCGAGGCATTAGTTAGGGGGTGGGGGGTATCTGCTTATTTCCCTAGGCTCAGGAACCTTGGGGGCTACAGCATCACCCACGGTGCTCTTTTCTGCTCCAGAATGTGTTTTATTAATCCCCAGTTGCTCAAACTGCATATAGCTCTCTACAGGAAGGATGCCCCTACAATACTGCACAGCACAGCATGTTTCTTTAACACTGAGCAGTGCATGAAGGTCTGGGCTAAGCCTTTGCGCCCACCATTCCAAAAAAGGAAAAGTTGAAAATGCAGCTGCAGACAAGAGAGGCAGTTGTTCTTAAGGAAGCGTCACAGGGCCATGGAGGAGATTCAGGGGCTGGTTTTTAAGAAGCAAATCTGGACAGGGCATGCGTGTTTATCATATCAAACTTCTGTTGCTGGAGAGATGAAGTGGGGGAGGTCCTCCAGCCAGGACCTTTTCTGTAGCAGTATCCTGGGGCCAAACTCACCCTGTGACTTCTCTTTATTCCACTTTATTTCCTAGTTTGTAATTGCATATATATTCCACCTTTTTCCCGTGTTGCAAGAAACCCAGGGTGGCTTCCTCTCCAATTTATCCTCACAACAACCCTGTGAGATAGCTTAGACTTAGAGCTAATGACTGTCACCCAGTGAGATATATGGATGAATGGGGACTAGAAACTTGATCCTCCAAGCCCCAGCCCAGAAGTCTAATGGCTACACCACTCTGACTCTCTTTATTATCCTTTGAAGGCTGATGAAAACAGCATGGTTCCACCAGAGTCTGTTTTTATCATTTAACAAGGGGTGGATGGGGGATTGTTCAGCTTTTTATAGCCCAGGTATTTTATTATTTTTGTTGTTTTAGTTGTACATCAGCTTAAGTGCTCAGTGAGCAGAGTGGCAATTCAGACATACACTGAACAACAAAAATTAAAAACCCCAAATGTTCATTTGTTCAAATGATGGTCTGGAAATCCACTTCAAATGAGGATCACCTAGATTGGGGTGGAGGGAGCAAAATTTGAGTTACCCAGAGTCCCAGCTGTACTCTCTGGCATACCTTAGAAAACTGATCCCCTTCCCCCTAAACACTGACTGGTCGGTGGTCTTCTGGGGTTCTGGGCATTTTTGCTTTTTTTAAAAGGCAGGAATGCCTCTCCTAAATCTCAGTTATCCACAGCAACAATTTTAAGCATTAAAATGCTGTTATTTTTTGGCCTTGTCCCCATGGCCTTTCACCCTGCCCACCATCAGAATTCACTCCCCCACCCCCCAAGAGTTCCTTGAAAATGGAGTCATCTTTCAAGCTGGAAGAGGTTTAACATTCCAAACAGGTAGATACATAGATATCAATAGCAAACTGCCCTTTCATTTGCAGGCAAACCAAGGTAACCCAAACTATAACAGCAAGCCCAGTTCAAACTCTAGTTAAGACAAACCTAGTTGCTTACCTTGACCATAATGACAAACTGTGGTTTGCTTTTAAGTCAGAGTGTGTGAAGCAAGATGGAAGCATGTTGGCACAGAGCTCACTCATGTTGCACCATGTTTTCATCTGGAATGCAAGCATCTCTGTTCTCACAAATCTTTGTAGCAACTAGTTTTGTGGCTGTTGAAGGGACAAACATGAAAAATGAGGTTGGGTTGTCAATTCAGAAATAAACATTTCCATGTTCTAACAAGACAGGCAGCAAACCTTCATCAGTCAGTTCAAGTAAGCCTTGAAAGCCTTGGCAGCAATTTTGAAGAAACAACCATGAAATGTGCTAGCCTGTACAATGGAATTTGTTTTGTGCTTCCCACAGCACTTTTGTTTGAGCGAAAGAATATGGAACTGTTCAGTAGCTTGTCAAAAAAGTGCTGTCAGTTGCTGATATTGTGAACGAGCTATGCATTGGGTAGCTACTGGTTAACTGGAACCCCACAACTGGCAACATCCGTCACCCCAGGACAGTTAATTTTGTAACCCTAAGTGAATCCAGGTGCTGTCTTCATCAGGAACACACAGAAAAGGACAACAGTGGCTTCCTCTTCCCTATATTTAACTCTAAATTATTGTTATCTCATAAAGAGAAACCGTCACCTTAATTAAGGCCCTTCAAGAACAGCACCTTTTACTAAGGCATTGAAACATGCAAATATATGCAAATATAATTGATGCAAAAACAATTAATTGATTGACTGGGGGTCTTTCCTCTCTGTGTGTGTGCAGTCAGGTGTGCACAATTGTTGCTTAAGGAGAAAGAAGCGGGGTGCTGAATCGAGGCCTCTTTTAATCTTCTGAACATGGGGCTGGAGGAATGTTAATATTTCTGAAAGGTTCCGTGGCTTATTTTGTCAGTGCGTCTAAATGGGAAAGCCATTTAGAAAGGTAGGACTTTGCCAGCCTCATCACCAGTTGCCCCATGGCAGGCATCCCAGTTGTCAAATAGCCAGTGCACAAGTGAAAACGTGGCAGAGAGGGATGGTCGGAAAACTCACCATGAACTTGGTCTTTTAAAAGGATGGAGGACAGTGGGGAAGGCACTGGAATGCAATGGGGAGGTTGACTTGGTTCTGTGCAATAACCAGTTGAAGAAACCAGGACCAGTATTAAGGGGAAGCCTAGTCAGATACTGCCAAGAGACCACTGCCGGATTGCTGTTCCTGATCGCCATTACAGCCATGGGTCTTGTTCTGGCCCAGACAAAAGAGATGGTGAGCAGGTGGAGCAGTCGATGCTCTCCGCCAGCCAATCAAGCAAGTGGTAGCAATGAGGAGAAAGAGGAGATGGAGCAAGAGGAGCTGCTGACATGGTGGTGAGGAGGTAGGCTCAGAGAGGGAAGAGGCCCCCTGAGGGTGTCTTGACCAAGGGCCTTCCCCAAGCTGAAGCCAGCACTGGAAGGAATTATGTGCATCCCAGATAAATCAACCGGTGTGTGTGTAGAAGCACCCAAAGTAAATAAAACCAAAATCCCACAACATGGAAACAAGGGCCAGGATGGGTTATACCCCAACATAGCTCTTTGGATCCTAGCCATCAAATATTGCTTATGTTCAACAAAATTGAAGGGGAAGATGCATGGAGAAATAGCAAAAATATTTCTGGACCAGCTTTGATGCATCTATGTGCAAAATGTTTCAGGGCACTGAAATAACAGAAAGGTTTCAGGCATGTCTTACAGCTGTGGCGTAGCTACAAAAACTTTTGTTATACTTGCATTACCTAAATTAACTATTGTACACAGGTCACCAGGGGCTACATATAAACCCACGCAAAGGAGCATTGGAAATTTAGGTTGCCCATACCTCATTGTCTGGATATCTTCACCGTTTCTGTCATGAATTATAAAAGAGGTGTTTAGCATGGATAATTCCCCTATTCCACCAGAAAACAACATTATGGGATGAAGAGAATACAGCTAAAATAAAGAAATTAATAAACTTAAGAGGAGATCATTATGGGAGAATCACAACTTATAGTTTTGAAACAAGAATGAAATGCCTAATTAATGGGTGGATGAGATCTACTGGGTTTCAGTTTATTTCTTGTCAATTGTCTATGGAAGCCTTCCCTAACCTAGTGCTCACTAAATATGTTGGACTACATCCCCAGTCATCCCCAGCCAGCATGTTGGATGGGGATAATGAGAGCTGTGGTTCCACCCATCTAATGTCATTAAGCTTAGAAGAATGATGTAAAGAGTGAGATTTCTATGGTAAGAATTTTAGGAATAAGGATTATCAAATGGAGTGTAATCAAATGTAAATTGTTTTCTAAAGTGAGAAAAATGGGGAACTGACCCCGATAAATAGGGTCAGTCAAGGCATATAACATTTTTGCAAGACTATTATGTGCCCCAAGCCAATTTGACGGAGTCTTCCTTGTGTTTTCCAATCCTAGAAAAACCATCTTTTTTCCTCCCATTTCTGATGTTTGTCAGAGATCAGGAAGGATCTTTGGACTATGGCCAGGGGTATTTCTGAAGATTGGAGTGGAAAAAGCCAGGCTGAGCTTAGCTTCCATTGCTTTTATAGATTGTTGTTGTTGTTTCTCACCGCTTGCTGCATCCCCTTCTCTCCAGCTGATGGTTTTATCGGTCTCTTTTCAGGTGGCTCTGCTCTGGCTGGAAGAAGCAGCTTTTGTGTTACCAGCAGAGAAAGGGCAGAGGGGAATTTCAAAAGAGAAGCGGCTCCCAGAGCACACTCCATAGTAAGCACTGTATTTTCATATTTCAAATACAAAACCATGGAATGGATTGATTTCCATAAGTCCAACCAACAAACAAAAAGCAGCTTTTCACGTGGAACCAATAGTAACACTTTATAGGAAGGTATATCCAAAATAATATTTTAAAGGGACCATGCAATAAAATAACTCCTCAGAAGCTTGATCAAGAATATATGGATGCAACAATATGATTTAGCTTTTGTTTGCCCCCCCCCCACCTACTGTGTACATACACTGAGTTTTTTTGCAGGGAGGTGGTTCCTGTAAGAAATGGATGTTGGTTTAGGAAAAACAAAATAAAAGAGACCTATTAGGGTGAAAAATACTCAAATGTAAAGCAGTCTCCTTCTCTGCTGAAAGAAGTAATTTGAAGACACTTTAAGGGTATTATGGCTCCAGGAAGAAATCTCTTCCTGTGGCTTTTAACAATTTAACTGATTAGTTTTTAAAAAGCATGATACTTTAAAAAAATTCAAATGCATTCCCCTCTAATGTAGCTTTACAGAACACACATTGTTTCCAGTGGGTATATGGAATTCACTCTTGCCTCCTCCGGTCTTTAGTCTGCCTCCTCTCTCCCTCCTCTGGTGTTTCATCTCTCAGCCTCCTGTCTGTTTGACTCAGCTCACAGTGCAGGGCTTTGTGAAATGAATTCCATCTGTGTCCTCCTAGTTTTCAATTGCCTTTCATTTCATTACCCCTCTCATCAACATAATCCACTGTGCAAATGTGTGTGCATGCATTTGCGCAAATTCAAACTTGCACAAATTTACACTTCCAAAATTGTGCAGATCACTCCAAGATAGGCCAGTTCCATGCATGTCTCCATGCTTGAATCTGGGGAGGCGGGGTGTAAGGGGCATGCAGTTTTTGATTACAAATATAAAACATTTTTCTATGAATAAAGTAGTGTAAAATTATAGAAAGTAAAAGATACACAAACAAAATAGTCTGCAAGGCCAAAGATTTCAAGCAGCTCAGGAAAAGCTGGCCTACTGCAAAATCCATGGGTCAGGGTCACAGAAATTCCTCTGTATCTGAGTCCATTGCAGATTTTACTGGTACCTGTAATTCAGTTACCTGCTTTCTCCACCCATTTGTCTGTTCGTTTCTGCCTTGTGAGGACAGTAGACTTTCCACCCTGTTTTGTTCCCCTTCAGTTTCTTTGACACTGAAGCCCTGCCTTGTTAGTCCCTTCCCTCCTGAATCCTTTTCCCAGCCTTCACCCACCTGCTCCTATTTCTTGCAGTCCAAATCTGTGCAGGCTGGGAATGTACGAGGAGGAGCTAGGATAACTCCTGCTTGGCTTGTCAAGTTCCTGCTTGCCAAGCACTTATGGATACTGTCTACATGGATGGTAGCTGGTGTAATCTGTGTCCCACTTCATTCATTCATCCTGCCAGGATTCTGATCCTGAGAGTAAGGGGCTCTCATTTAGGAATGCTGGAGAATTTAATTGTTCCTTTCAGAGCATGGGAGAATCCCCACTGGAAGTTCTGAACATGAGCACAAGCATTTACTCGTATCTGCCAAAAAGATTTGTGAATTGTCGAACATGTGCTCACATTAGTATCTCTCTGATTTTTAGTTCAATATGTACAAATTTCCTTAGTAGACTGAATCAGCCCCACTTTAGCCAGTGAAAGAAAGTTAAGGAGACACTTGCTCAGATGTTCTGTTCTACAGGGACTTAAGCCGTCTCTAACCAAAATCCAGCCTTCCAAGGGTGTTACCTCAGAATCTGAGCCAGAACTGGAAGAAGAGGCAGGTCAGCAATGAGCCAACAGACCAGGGAGAAACAAATTACGTCTGGTTCTGTAAGAAACTCCGCTGAATGCCTATTCACTGAGTCAGATACAAGGGAAGCAATGGTCTAGTCACACAGTCTAGCATCAGATCAAAGGGGCAGATCAATTACATAACAACTTGCATTCCCACCCTCTGTCTCTGAAGCAACCTCCCTGAGGGTTGAACTAACTCCTTTTGGCAGAGAAATAAGGAGACAGCAGACATTTGGAACCAATATCTGCGCATTAAGCCATAGCTGTCAGTCTAACTTTGCTGGGGTCATTTCTAAATGCTTTATGCAGTGCTTCTCTTTTATATCACAAAGCCAGCCTAGCTGGACCATTCAAGATAGACTGTAGCTAAAGCTGTTTTATCCTGGATGGCTTGGAAGGAAAGGAGAGAAAGACTGGCCTCTGATGTGTTTGATTCCTGATTTTTACAACTTTCTTATGCATGCAGAGTGGGCAGCAAGTGCCAACACAAACAGGAATTAGACATGGGACAAACAGAGAGACACTGTTCAGAGAATCCCACAATCCCAGGCATCATTTATTTGCCCCTTTCTGCTCTCATTGTCTTAATACCTATCCTTTTGGCCATGTAAACAAAAACAGTGCTTTTACTCTAACAACAGACATTAATCACTGGCATAACCATCTCCATTAGTACAGCCAGTCTGTCTCTGACTGAGAGGGATAGGACTGGAACACCAGCCAAAATGGTGAAAAGGATGGAAAAGCCCTGTGGGGTGGGGCTGATAGCTTATATACCACTCTTCCCTGAACTGGGAATCACCGGAGTTGCAGCTGAATTGTTGTGAACAATTGTTGAGCTTCAGCTATTGGGCAGCAGAGAGATAACAGTCTAAGGGTATCTGATTGGCAAAAGCTCTTGTAAACTTTCCCAAACTCTTGGGAGAAAGGGCAGGATTAAGATGTAATAAATTTAGGATAATAATTGTAGAACCAGACTGTCATATATAAACTCGTGCACTGTTTGTATGTAGCTGGTCATTGATCAGTGAAGCCAAAATGGCAGATAAGTTGTCCTTGAGGGTTCAGTAGTAATTCAGCAAAAGTAAGATGAGCATCTTAGGCTGTCTGACAAAGACCTCATGCACTCCAGTTACTTTATGGCAGGAATCTCAGTGCTGTTTCAAATAATCCCATGATAACTTGGATCAGGATGCTTAGCCTGGGCTTAAGTTAAGTTGCCTATTTGGAAACTATACAGTTTCTTAGGAGCTTGCCATGGAGATGGCTTTCTCGCTATTCCTGTGCACTATACATTGTGTTGCTATAGTTTATATACCAGTCTTCCCCAAACTGGCGGTACTCTCACTGAAAATTACAGGAGTTGCAGCTGAATTGTTGAGAAATGCCCATAGAGCTTTGGGTATTGGGCAGCATGGAAACATAATGAACCATAATAACTGAACATAGCATGGATTCCTGATTGTAGGGATGCATTCCAGTTAGGTGCACTTTACAGAAAAAGTTGGGACATTTTAGCAAGATTTTTTTTTCTTTCATGAGAAATGCAACCCAGCAAGACAGTGAGGTGTCTTGCTGCTAATTCCTCTGTACAGTTTGGTAAGACTGTTTGTGAAGCTGTGAACAAGGGTGTTTGTTGCACTTCCCAATGGTGTGTGTGGGTAGGGAAAGTGAAAATGTATATTTTGCATGTTTCCCCCACTCCCAGATAAGTTTCCAAAGATAGTCTGCTACATCAGGAGTTTCCTTCACATTTGAATTCTGAATTAGAACTTTGCAGGAGTAATCCGGAGTTCCAGAGCTTTGTGCAAGGAACTTCTTTGGAACGGGATTTTTTCCACCTTCAGGAATAGCTTGTTAGTTCCATTTAGTATGTTACAAGCATTGGAAAAATACCAGGTTCACTCTGCCCCTTTTTCTAGTCCAATGAAAGAAACATCAGTTTCCCCACCAACCTCAAAAATAGATATATTGGACACTAGCTTTTCACTGTCTGCTTTGCTGTTAAGGACTAGAGAAAATGAATATAATTAAAGAGGCTGGTACAGAAGTCCTCTGTGAAAGCCAGGGCTGGCTTTCTGGCCATTAACTTTAAATAGTTCTGTGGCACCCTAGAGATTAGTGGATTTGTTGCAGTACAAGCTTTGGAAGATCACAATCTAATTTATTCATTTATGAACATCCATAATAAATCAGTTAGTTTCCAGCAGCCCAGTCTTCTAAAAGGGGCTTCCATCACTGCAGGTGCTTCTCCCTGGAGAGTCTGTTGCACTGTCAAGGGGGAGGCATCGGGCAGTCCTCCCATCCTCTCTTTCATAAGAGAAAAGATGGAAGGAATGGTGGGAAAACATGAGAATATTATGAGTTGAAGACGACATTGCCCAGGCTCTCCATACAATTCCATGAATAGGGCAAGGCAATGAGGCTGGAAAAGCTGCACGTGGAATCATCAGGCACGTGGTAGCAAATTCCATACTGTACGAAGGTGTTTTTGCTTTGATGTGTCCTGGAACTCCAACTTCATTTGAAGTCTCTGGCTCCCAGGCTGGTGAGTGAGAGCAAGGAATGGTAGGGAGCCGGGGCGGGCAAGGAAGGCCCCGGCAATTATAGGCAGTCTATAAAAATATGTAAATAGATAAGTAAATAAAAGATGTTATGGCAAGGGAGGCACCCATTAAACCGGGTAGGGATGGAGAGTTCCTATAACCAGTATATTACTGTATGTGCTTGCCATATGCCAGGGGAAAGGAGTCTGTAGCCCTTCACATTTTGATGGACTTCAGGTCCAATTATCCTTGACCTTGGAATCCAACAACATCTGGAGGGCCACACCCCTCTTATATCAGATATTTCTTCTTCACTGGAGGAACAAAGATGGTGCATAGATGACCTGAAAGCGTTCTTGTGGATCTTGTCCCGTGGTTGCTGTCCATCCACCAGAAAATGCAGTTTTATTTTTATTTTACTTCCAGTTGTGGAGCCTTACATGGGGTATCCCAGCCTTTAAGGATGGAGTACACAAAATGCAAAAGCTTGAAAGGGGAATCAGGTCCTGTTTCTTTCTTACTGTTAATTGTTGAAATTGCTTAGGTCACTGTGTATGTGCCACCTATTTATACGTCTGTATGTAAATAGCTTTTGCATGATGTTTAATATTGTATTTTCAAGGGTTTTAACCTTTGTAAATCTCCCAGAGAGCTT